GGCACATAACAACAACAGTACAGAATAGAACTGCACCACAGGGTCTCCAAGGCTGTCAGTCTTCACAGAAGCAAAGCCCAAACCACACCCACTGCCATGGAGTCCATTCTGACCCACAGCGCCCCTAGAGGACAGAGTGGAACTGCCCCACAGGGTCTCCAAGGCTGTCAATCTTTATAGAAGCCGACTGCCTCACCTTTCTCCCAGGAGCAGCTGGTGGGTTCGAATCACCGACGTTCTGATTAGCAGACAAATGCTTTAAACATTATGCCACCTCTTGCTCTGGTGGGAGTGCAAATTAGTACAACCACTTTGGAGAAGAGTTTGCCAAATTCATATAAAGCTAAACTTACACTTGTATGTCTTAGGATTCTGTCTCCTAGGTATTTACCGAAAAGAAATCACAACTTATGTTCACACAAAAACTGTGTGTGGAGATATTTATCACAACTTTATTCTTAGTCACCGAATCCTGGAAACAACCCAAATGTCCTTCTACTTGAAAATGTATACAAAACGGTGGTGTATCCTTATGATGGACTGCCAGCCAGCAGTTAGAAAGAACTATTGACACACTCAGGGTGGTGCAGTGAATTCCTTGGCATGGCTTTTCTAGCCGTAGTCCTTGTTACTCCCACGGGATTACTGGGTGGGACTATGCAAATAAGGTGTGTAGAACTCTGCTGTTGGGATTGGCTAGCTTTGTCATTCTACCAGGCTTAAAATGAGCCCTCCTAGAGGCAGGGGGGAATATCACTACATCAAGAGTGAGGAGCTGGAGGTGAAGTGGTGTGCATCCTTGGACCTGAGACCCCTGCACTGGGCTTCCTTGGCAGAGATGCCCCAGCAGGCGGATGCCTTGGCAGAGGGATGGCAGCCGTGGGACCAAGAGGCTGGAGACAGAGCGGCGGCTCATCTGGCCCGTTGAGCGAGAAAGCTGAGTGCCCTTGGGCAAGAGACTTGCCAGTGGAGTGGGGTGCACCTAGATGTATCTATCAACAGAGCTAAAAGAGCTTTGTAACACTTGCCCACGCAGGGCAGAGGCCAGGTGGAGAGGTAAGGGCCAGAGAGGTGTGTCTGAGGGCACAACAGAGGGGAGACCGTCCTGATCAAAGAATTGTATCCTGAGCATGTTCCTGAACCTGAATTGTAGCCTGTTACTTCGTGAGTATTGTCTGCGAGTTCTGTGTGGCCATTGCAATGAATTAACAAACCCAGCAGAGAAGTAGTTAGTGCCCTGAGAGGGACAGTTGATACCAGAATTGGTAAAAGGCTGGAGGGTGGCAGTATGTCTGGCCTCATAGGAATAAGCCTTGGGCTACTGATGGTGATTCTTTGTCTTGGAAAATTAAAGGCGGTCAGAAGATGCTGTCTCCATGTCCTTTTTGCACTCAGTAACAGGGATGAATCCCAAATGCTTTGTGCTACATGAATGAAGCCAGAGTTTAAAGGATGCATTTTATGTGATTTCATTGAAATGCCATTGTCTAAAAGGCAACACAATAGAGATGGAGAACAGATCAGTGGTTTCCAGAGGTTAGGGATGAGGGGAGAGTCTGACTACCAAGGGCCACCAGGAGGGAACGTTTTGGGTAACGAGCTCTTCAGGATCTTGACAGCAGTTACAATTACACAATTCTACACATTTGCCAAATCTTGCCCAAAATTTGACACCACAAACACTGACTTTTACTGCATGTAAATTTAAATATAAATTTTAAAATAGAAACATGCAAGGAAATACCACGATATTCCCACTAGAAGTGTTTGAATTTAAAAGGCTGACAACAACAACTGTTGGCAAGAGTGTGGAGCAACTGGAATGCTGATGCAAGACTGATGAGAGTGATGATGAGGAAAACCACTTTGGACAACAAGTTGAAAATTCCTTCTAAAGTCACCATTTCACCTAGCAGTTTTTCTTCTCAGTATGTACTCGTTGTTGTTGTTATGTGCAGTCGAGTCGGCCCCGACTCATAGTGACCCCTCCTTGGGTTTCCGAGGCAGTATCACTGCGGAAGTAGATTGCCCAACCTTCCTTCCGAGGAGTGGCTGGTGGGTTTGAACCGCCAGCCGTCTGGTTAGCAGGCAAGTGTCTTAGCCACTATGCTACCAGAGCTCCTGTATGTATTCATAGGAATGAAAATATACCTATAACAAGACTTGTACCTCAATACTCACAGCAGCTTTATAGACTATACACTGGAAAACTTCAAGTGTACATCAACAAGTTAATAGACGAAAGATTCTGATATACAGTGGAATACTACTTTATGAATTACTGGCACATACAACAACTCGGATTCATTTCAAGAAAATCATGGTGAGAAAGTGTACCTTTATAGGACATTCTGAACTAGGCAAAACAAATCCACCATAAAAGCAAGCAGATCAATGGGGCGAGAGCTCAAGATTGATTACCTACAAGGAGATATCAAAACTCCCCAGTGGGCAGTGGAAATGTTCTATATCTTGATTGTGGAGGTCATGTTGTTGTTGTTGTTATGTGCCATTGAGTCGGACCCGACTCATAGTGACCCCTCCTTGGCTTTCCAAGGCAGTATCACTATGGAAGTAGATTGCCCAACCTTCTTTCCGAGGAGTGGCTGGTGGGTTTGAACCACCAGCCTTCTGGTTAGCAGTCAAGTGTCTTTGGCACTATGCTACCAGAGCTCCCAGTGGAGGTCATAGCAGGGATGTATACATTTGCCAAAACTGACAATTTTGCACTTCAAATGGATGTATTTTAATGTAAATTATAGCCTAAAAAAGATCATTTACAAAACTCAATGAGAATTGATATCTTCATATATTTAACCTTTCAATCCATGAACATGGTATAATTTCTTTATCGCTAAAACCCATAGCATTGGGTTTTCTATTACACACCCCTAAACACATTTTTAGTTTTTTATTAACAACCTAGAACAAGGTATTATCTCAATGATCAGAGATTCAATTTCCTCACATATCAAACAAGGATGCAAAACTCTGTCTATGTTAGTAAGCTCAAGTGAGTATGTATGTAGACACTACACTGGAAGAATTTTCAAATGCATAGTGACATAAACTATTATGTCCTGTATCATAGATCTGTCAAATGCATCCTGCAGAGAGTAAGATAGAAAACCACAAGAGAGGAACCTAATTTTAATTTCATCTGTATATCCCATTCATGTTTTCTGGGCATATGACCACTTTCTCTCCGCCCTCCCCCCATAAATGGAAATGTTAATTGAGGACCTAAGGAAAATTGTGCCAGTCCACACTGCACTGGTGGACGAGATGCCACTCCTCCCCTGGTTGGTAGGACACGTGTACCCCTTTGGCTTTACATGAAAAGGTGCTGCATGGTTTTTGTTTTGGAAATGTCTCTGAAATGCTCAAAATTGGCATGCCAGGAAAAATTTCCAAATTCGTATTTTTCAAAATATCCAGTGTGTCACCACGGCACGTGGCAAACTCCACCAAGTGACTGCAGCTCTAAAGCCTGACAGTCTTGTGTGTTAGCCAAGGACGTGACAGTAATGGATGCGGAACATCTCAAGGCAGTCAGGTCTCCTCTTGTCTTCAGACCTTCAAGGACGTGGACGCTCACTAGGTGTTTGATGAGTCAGTGAGTGTGAATGCCTCCTTCACTTCACCTGGTATCTATCCCTCTCCATTTCTTATGCCCCAGATACTCACACAGACCCCCAAAATCCAACACCTGGCAGGACCGCCCACCCATGGGTGGAGGTGAGGCTGACTCTCTGGGACAGGCCAGGAGTGGACAAGGCCCCTGGTGTGAACACCAGGGCTCAGAAAACCATCTTAGTCCAGAGGGCACTTAGACATTGACTCAGCCATCTAGCAGGCCTCCAATGTCCTGAGAAGTCCTTGTTCACACTGATGCCCAAGAAAGTGCCCAACACTGGGAGGCAGGATGTGAAGACCTGGTCTTTTCCTCTGTCCTCTTTGGACAAGTCTCCGGTGTCTCTTGGCCATGGGGTTCCTATCTTCTCGGAGCAGAGGGGGCATGCGCTCTGACTGCACGTGTCTGAAGTTCCTCTTCTGTGAACGTCCACTGTCTCAGGCTCTGCCTCCAGCTTCCTGTGGGTCCCCCACAGTCCTTCCCGCCTCTCTCTCGTCTTCTGCTTATCTCCTCAGAGACAGGTCCAACACAGGAGGTCCAAAACCCTTTCATCTTGGAGATGCTGCTGCTGCTGCACCTGCTGTGGGCAGGTGAGTCACCAAGGGGGAGGAGCCAGTGGGGGCTGGGGGCTGGGGCTGCAACTGACACCTGTCCCTGTCTACAGGGTCCCTGGCTCAGGACGGCAGGTTCCACCTGCAAATACAGAGGCCAGTGACGGTGGAGGAGGGTCTGTGTGTCCAAGTGCCTTGCAGCGTCTTCTACCCCAACTACGGCTTGAACAGCTCTACTCCAGCTTATGGCTACTGGTTCCGGGACGGGGCTGATGTAAACCTGGATGCCCCAGTGGCCACGAATAACCCAGATCGAAAAGTGCAGAAAGAGACCCAGGGTCGATTTCGTCTCGTCGGAAACCCCCATATCTATGACTGTTCTCTGGAAATTGGAGAGGCCCAGAAGGGGGACACGGGGACATACTTCTTTAGAGTGGAGAGAGGACATTTTGTCAGATATACTTACCTGGAAAACAAGCTCTCTGTGCATGTGGCAGGTGAGAAATTGGGTCAGAGAGATGATAGAGGGGGAGGTCATGGGCCCCAGGAAAGGGGCAGGATGGGATCCCTTGCTTCTCATTCTGGGGGGACCATGGGGAACAGGATGCTGGGGCTGGATGGGGAGGAGTTGGCTCTTCGGAGGCAGAGGCTGCTCTTAGGAGCATACTCAGGGGTCCTCAGCCCTGAGGCCTGGGTCTCTCTCTCAAGCCTTGACACAGACACCCAACATCCACATTCAGGGGATTCTAGAAGTTGACCACCCCAAGAAAATCACCTGCACAGTGCCGTGGACTTGTAAGAAGGAGACACCCCCCACCTTCTCCTGGATTGGCGTTGACCTCACATCTCTGGGCCCCAAAGCTCCCCACTCCTCGGTGCTCATCCTCACTCCGAAGCTACACCACCATGGCACCAACCTCACCTGTCAAGTGACCCTATCTGGAGTAGGTGTAACCATGAAGAGAACCATTCAGCTCAATGTGTCTTGTGAGTGCTGGGTGGCGGTGCATGGGTCCCTAAGGGCAGTGGCTGTCGGGGTGGATACTGTGGATATTGTCGTTGGGGGCTTGGCTGGGCCAAGACGAAGAGAACAACTAGACTTCCCCCATCTTTCCCACTATCACACCATCATACTTCAGGTGGTCAGTTGTTGATTTCTATTCCAGATGCTCCAAAGAACTTGACCATCCGCGCCTTCCACGGAAACAGAACAGGTGGGAGAGGACCTCTCACTTGGAGCCAGGAGGGGAGTGGGCTACCCACCAGGGCAGAGCTGGGACTTAGAGCTCAGATACTGATACCGATAAGGTCTAACATAATGAAGCCCCATCACTCTTCACACCCTCTCTTGTGTGCTTCTGCGCCCCACCCCTACCCCTGGTCAGGACTCTACTGAGACACTGTGAATTCCTGGTTGACAGTAAAGTCATTCTTGATTGTGTTCTCTCTCTTAACCTCTCTCCCCTCCATCTTCCACGACGTTCTCCTCCTGCTTCCTCAACCCCTCTCTGTCTTCTCAATTTCCCACAGGAGGCTGTAAGTCCATGGGGGCCCACAGCCTACACTGGGCCTCTGGCCTCTCTCTGCATAACCCCATGGGTCAGCTCATGGCTCCAACGCTACCCCAGCCCCAAAAACCCTCACAAAGACCTGTCCAGTCCAATTATCCTGAACACAGCCAGTTAGTTCCTCCTTGGGAGGGCCCAACCTACTTGAGACACCTTAGTCTACATCCTGGAAGTGACTTTAGACATCTCTGCCTCTCACCCAACTTTCCCCATGAGTTTTGAAAACTGGACTTCCTGAAAATGTCTTAAGTTGCTTCCTTCCCCCAATCCCACAGCACCAGGTCCGGCCTGGTCTTCAGTCTTCTCTTGCCTGGAGCATCACACCAGCCTCCAATCTCACTTCTTCCAGGTGGCCACAGATTGGACCCCAAAGGGACCCCAATCCAGGAGAAGATTGGGGATACCCCTCTCCTACAGTCCATGACCTGACCTTGTCCCTCCTCTGCTGAGAGCCCTCCCATGGTCTCCCATGGCCTCGGGAGAAAGCTCAAGGGTCTTTCCTGTCTTAGGCTCTCTAGGTCTTTCCCTACAAGTGGTCAGACCGACATGTGTTAATGCCTCTCCATGATTCTGCACATCAAGCTCCATCCTGTGGTGACGTCCTCTCTCACACCCTGGCGCAGCTAACTCTTTCTTCTATTTCCATCCGTCTCTCAGGGACCTCCTGCCTCAGCATCACTGAGCTGTCTGTCTTCTGGGAGCTTCACCCACACTTTCCCATGCTTGCAACGCTTGTCTCAGAGATGCTGTTTTCCATTCACGTGTATGAGTTTTGTAGAGCTGCTGTAACAAAGCACTACGACTTGAGTGGCTTGAAACAACGGAATTTTATTCTCTCACAGTTCCGGACGCCGAGAGTCTGGAATCAAGCTGTTCGCAGGAATGTGATTTCTCTGGAGACTCTCGGGGAAGACCCTACTGGCTTCTTCCAGCTCCTGGTTGTTGCTGTCAAGCCTTGATGTCCCTCGGCTTGTACATGTGTCACTTCCTCTTCACATGACCTTCCTCCCTCTGCGTGTCTCTGTGTCTCCTGTTCTTATAAACACTTATTGGAGTTAGTGTTCACCGTACTCCAGTATGACCTCATCTTAACTCGATTACATCTGCAGAGACCCTAGTTTCAAACAAGGTCACTCTCACAGGTCCTGGGGGTTGGGAGTTAAACCTATCTTTTTGGGACACAATTGAATTCACAATGCTGTCTGTGGAAGGACAGACGGACAGAAGGATCTGTCAGTCCTGTCCTTCTGGTTCTCTATATCTACAGTCCCAGAGGTTTTAAGCAATGCCTCCTTGCTGCGAGTCCCGGAGGGCCAGTTCCTACGCCTGGTCTGTGGTTCTGACAGCAACCCCCCTGCCAGGCTAAGCTGGACCCGGGGGAGCCTAACACTGAACCCCTCGCAGCCTTTGAACGTAGGCGTCCTGGACTTTCCCCACGTGGTTTGTGGGGATGGAGGAGAATTCATCTGCCAAGCCCAGCACATGCTGGGGTCCTGCCATGTTTCCGTGAGACTGTCTGTGCAAGGTGAGGATGGGCAGGACACGTGCGCTCTGGGTAGGGCTGTGAGCAGGGCTGAGGTGTGCACTTAGGAAACTCACACCTCTCTTTCCCTCCTTCTTCCCCCAGGTGCCTCCTGTTCCTGCCCTCATGTGTCTGGGGAACAGAGGGGCTCCTGGCCCCTAGTGCTCATCCTGCTCAGGGGGGCCTTAATGGGGTTTGGCTTCCTTTTCACTTATGTCCTCACCTCGATCTACTATACCAGGTGAGAAGTCCTTTTCAAGGTGGCCTGAATTTTGAGCCCCTAAAATTTCTGCTGGCTTCACACACCTTTTGCTCTCCAGAGAAAACCCTCCATAGGACTGGTCTCTGAGCAGAGCTGTGTTTCCTCCATAGGTTCAGAGGCCCCCAAGGAAGCAGGGAGGCTAAGTCTGGCTGAGCCCCTCCCTCACAGCAGTGAGAGACCCCCAGCCCACTGTGTGCTGCGACTCGCTCCCACCCGTGCACAGCTCTGTGGAACAAGGCGGCACCGCATGACTTGGTCCCCCCGCCAGAAATAACCCCTCCTCGCCTTTCACATCTGGTCTCCAGGACTCTATTATGGTTCTAAACGAATGTGGGAATATAAATTTGTGTTATCACAAATTTGAATTATACTCCATGTAATATTACACCTTTGTGTGCTTACATTAATGTGCGGTTGATAAGCCCATAATTCAACTCTGTATTATAATGTACACATCTATATTATTATTTTAAATAATAAATTATTTTTAAATAACATTAGCAAACAAAGCCTTTTCAATATGCATTTATCCACATATTAACCATCTCAATTGCTCTTTCTTCCTTTGTGTGGGTGGAAATTTCTCTTTAATAGCATTTTCCTTCTCCTGATGGTATTACGTGTTTTTTTTTTTTTTTTTTTGCAGTGAAGGTATGCTGGTAATTGATTCTCTCAGCTGTTGTGTGGGAAAGTTTTCGCTTGCATTAGCTTTGGAAAGATGTTTTTAATGGCTATGGAATCTTGGGTTAACATTTGCCCTCTCCCAGTACTATGAATTATGTTGGCTCGCATAGTTTCCCAGAATTCTCATGCAATTTTTACCTTTTCTATTTGTAGTGTGTCCTTTTTCTCTGGCTGGTTACAGCATTTTCTCTTTATCAGTAGGTTTGATTAGTTGGTTATTATAATCCTTGGGGGGACGGGGAGAGAGAGAGTCAGTATGTGAGTTTATCCTTGTGGTAGTTCGGTTTGTGTGTCAACTCGGCTGATTGAGTGGCTGGGCAGCTGGTGGGAGTTAATCCCTGGCAATCAACTCCATGGTGGAATCTACCACAAGCAGCTGGGTAGCTGCCTTTGGGATGTGGTCTGCTTCCTGTCTATAAGGAGAAGCCTTTGGGAATGGTCTCTAGCCTGTGGCACGCTTGGACCCTGCATGTGGCCGTGTCATTGCTCAGCAGCCTGCTATGCTCTGCCGACCTTGGGACTCACAATGGACTTAAGTTAATGGCCTGCCGTGTGGTTTGGTAACATCGGGACTGTGCCTTTTGACTTGTCAACCTTGGGGCTTCTCGGCCTCAGCAGCCAGCAGCTGTCTGAGTGAAGAAACGCCTCTAGCTCCAGTGGGCCAGGAGCAGGAGGCAGGGCTGGACCCCAAGGTCGAGGGGCTTTCACCCAGCCCCTAGAGCTTGGCACTTTGAACTTGGACTTAAAGCCTCTGAATTGTAAGAATAAACTCCCATCCCATTTGTTGTATTTTCTTATCAGAGGGCACCTGGGAACCAGAACAATCCTGTTTCAAGTTTTCTGAGCATGGTCGTTTGGGTTATGTGTCAGTTGGGCTGGACCTGGTTTTGAGTGGCTGAGGAGTTGATGTAGCTATGAGATGAGATTGGTTATAAACTCCATGGTAGAATCTACCGAAGCAGCTGAGTAGCTGCTTTAGGGATGTGGTCTGGTTCCTGTATATAACAAGTTCTGAGAAAGGTCTCTGCAGCTTTTTGGCATGCTTGGGCCCTGCATGGAGCTGAGTCTTCATTTAGCAGTCTGCCATGTCTCCTGCTGATCTTGGGACCGTTTCTGGACTTGACCTAGTGGCTTGCCGTGTTGTTTGGTAATCTTGAGACTGTGTCATTTTATTTGTCAACTTTGGGCTTGTCAGCCTCAGCAGCCAGCAGCTGCCTGGAGTGAAGAGACACCTCCAGCTTCAGTGGCTGGGAGCAAGAGGCAGAGCTGAAGCCCAAGGTTGAGGGGCTTTCACCCAGCCCCTAGCCCTGGCACTTTGAACTCGGACTTCTAGCCTCCTAAACAGTAAGCAGGTAAATTCCTGTTTTTTCAAGCCATCCCATTGATGGTATCTTCTGTCAGAGTGGCACAGAGAACCAAAACACTGAGTCCAGTGGACCTGTGCACTTAGGTTGTGCTGTTGTGTTGTTGAGTTGATTCTCACTCATAGGGTCCCTATAGGACAGAGTAGAACTGCCCCAGAAGGTTTTATGGAACCAGATCACCAGGCTTTTTTCTCCTGAGAGACAGCTGATGGGTTTGAACCACCAACCTTTCAATTAGCATCTAATGACTTAACCACTGTACCACCAGGATTCTTACCAAATTTGTAAGAACAGAACCCAATACTTACTTAAATACACTTCTTCTATTCCTCTTTCTTCTCCATCTGGGACTCCAGTTTCTCTTATATGAGATTTTATTATATCATCTCAAAGGAGCATCTTCTGTTCACCTTTTCTCAGCCTTTTGTTTTCTGTGCAGTTTGGATAGTTTCTATCACTATGTCTTAACGCTCAGTGATGTTTCTTGCACAATGTGGAATCTGCTGTTAACACCATCCAGTGAAATTTTCATGTCTGATATTGTATTTCTCTTCTCTAAAAGTCACATTTCCTTAGTTTAAAAATCTTGTATGTCTTCATTTACTATCTCCACAGTTTTGTTTACATACTTGAGTACATGGGGGGGTGGAGGGAGTTGGCGTGGTGGTCGTAACTCAGGCAGTATTTGCATTAAGATGCTCCCCCTGTCGAACCCTCGGTTCTGTTGAGGTGCAGAGAATAGACACAATTAGAATTTATAGACACAATGAACAAGGCTGCAATCTTTCTGGAAAAGCACCATTTGCAAATGTGCCCAGGGCCTGAGAAATGGTCCCCTCAGAGCTGCGATTCTCCAGCACCATGGAGAGCGCAGAACAGAGGCCAGGGCTCTGCAGGCATCTGCAGGCGCTGGTGGAGTGAGGCGCCCTCTAGGGGCGGTACCCTGACCTACTACCACTGCAAGGACAGCGGAGGGAGGGACCTGGGACAGTTATATCCTAGAACCT